CATATGAATAGCAATATTTGTAGCAGATGAGATGCCTTCACTAAGAATTGAAGAATTTTTCTTCTAAGTGATTCCTTGTATTCTGCTGAATTTCATAAAAGTTGGCCTAAGCTTAACACCAAGTTGAAAATAATTTGAGTTCAAATGAAATAAAAAATAGATGAAACAAAGTAATTTTGGAACATTATTATTAGATTCTGACAACGATAGTGAACACCAAGTAATGGTTACTGGTTACTTTCGAACTGCTTATGCCTTTCAATTTATTTGGTTTTTATATTGTTTTAGACTGAAGATATTCTGTTAGAACCCTTATTGTCGCAAGCAGTAAGTTGAACGTATTAGACCAGAAATTTTTGCTATGGTATATGTTGCATGTTGTGCGATGTTGGGATGCATTTAATCGCTTAACGATAAGACTTTTAAAACTTTTCCTTGTCTTTAAAATATGAAGATGATTGGAGCAGGTTTACACTTCGTTGAAAATATGAACACTGTTGATGGAAATCAAAATCTGACTACTTTTGTTGTAAATTTGGTGAGAATGTTTGCTCCATTTTATAGTCGAATAATGATTTATACCATCTAAAACGTCAACAGTCGAATATAAACTGGCATTCATCTTCATCTACACAATCACATTCTATGTATGTTCGAAGTAAAAAGTTGCGTAAGTTTTTCTTATATTCATTTTTCTTATTATACAGAATAATGTTGATACCATGAACGATTGCCAGATATCGTTCTTTACACTGTAATTTCACTATGTTGGATAATACAATAATATAACTTGCTTTTGCGTGTTTACATGCTTTTTTTTGCTTTGCTTTTGTTTGGTTCTGGCATGTTTTTTGTAAAAAATTATACAACAATGGTATGTTATTTATTACTTTTTATTTGTACTTTAGGTTTAAACATGGCGCTTCGGTCTTCCCGGACATGTTGTACGAATCAATGAAATAATTGTAAAGAAAAAAAAGACATTTGAATATTTTGTTTAGGTATTGAAACAGCTAAATGGATTCCAGTTATATTCATTTTAAGCGTCGTAGCGTGGTCTTACTATGCTTATGTTGTGCAAATGTGTTTTTGTAAGTTTCTTTATCCATATATCGACTCAGACAACAGAATCTATCACATGTTATGTTATGTTTAGTGACAATCGATAGCGTACCAAAAAAAGGTACATTAATCCTCATTTTTCATGTTTTGTACTATATACAATCTGTTGTTATTTCTGCTTTTAGTTATTTATTTAACAATTTATCACGTACTATTGTTTTTGTTTCTTTGGTCTTATTATCAAACTATATTCAAACCAACTGCTGAACCACCGCCAAACGTAATGGAAAGGACATTGCATATATATAGTTGAATAATTCTATTGCTTTCACCATTTTAGTTTTATATTTCGGATAACGAGGCCGATCATATCGCAGCAGCTCAAACAATTGAAGATAGACGAAATTTCTTAATTCATTTAGCACGTACTGCTAATTTACCATTATTGACAAAACATTTCGATGGAAGTATGTAGCTATATGTGTTTTTAAGTTTATTCTCATATTTGTTTGATAATGTTCTTGTCTTTTCTACAGGTATCCGATACTGTTTCAATTGTCGTTGTATCAAACCGGATCGTGCGCATCATTGTTCTATATGTAGAAAATGTGTTTTGAAATACGATCATCATTGTCCATGGTGAGTACAACTGATGATTTAAAGGAATCAAAAATAGTTGTAATTGTTATTATTAACTAAAATGATTTTCAGCATGAGATATATCGAGCAGCTATTTCTTTTCAAGGGAGTAGTTGATAAAGACAGGCGTAGAAAAGAGACAAAAATGTGAAGATGAATTTAATTCAGCGAAAACATTTATCTCCTATGAATTGACAGAGCTAGATTTTTGATTTTTCTCATAGCATGACGGAGTGATTTACGAATAGTTTCATTCAAAAACCTAATCTTGCCTAAAAGCGGCTTCTATAATACTCTATTTCAAAGCAAGAAAAGGCTTAATTGAAAAACTTACTGCTTCTAGCTTGTAATGTTTTTTTCCTCTTCACTTGCTTGCAACTACGATGAAGCGTAGGAAATTTCTGAGAAATATCGAGTACTGTACGTCAAAAATAATACACGCAAGTTCATTAAGTACAGGAATTCTGAGGTGATTAGAACATTAGTCGCGGAAGTATTCGATAAAACATCACATGGATCTACGCAACATCTCATTTAAAAGCGGGTACTTTTTTCTATATAATTGCACAGTTTATCAAAAAACGCGACCGAACTCAGTGCAACTTTAGAACAGCATGAATTTTCATGGTTTTGCAGAAACCGCTGGAAATCTATAATGTGCTGATTGTACGTTGAAGGAACGACTTTGTAATTTGAATATGGATTGTTTACTACATTCTCGCATTCATTTCTCTACTTTTTAGGACAAACAGTTGTGTGTCATTTGGAAATTATAAATTTTTTATTTTATTTCTCGGTTATGCACTGATATTTTGTATCTATGTAGCAGCAACATCCATTGAATATTTTATCAAATTTTGGCAGGTATGGGTACTATTATCCTCTGTCAGAAATCTAAAAGAAACAATTGATGTTATTCATTCGTCATAGAATGTTACATCGCCTCAGCAGGTAATACACCATTGCATTAAAATAATCTGAATACCACTAATTTTTTTTATTTTTTGTTAACGGCTTTGATCTCAAAAGTGATTGTCAAGTCATATAATCAACTTTTCCACATATATTAGGGGAAAAGAGTAATCGTATCATTCTCTTTTGCAAGTTTAAATCTGCAAAAGAAAGGTAGTCGTCCTTCCTATATCTTATAGCACTAATAATGTGGCACAATGTCTTAGCCGATAGTATGCAACATTTAACACATGATAAAGATTTTTAAGGATTGAAGCTCAGATTACTAACGCTTTGACAAAAGAATATTTTAGAAGTGTTTTTTCATACCATTGATTTTTAAAAGAGTGAAATATAATTGAAGACATAATATATAAAAAGGAAGTGTATACTTCTCGTTTGCAGATTCGAATCTGCAAAAGAAATTATACAGTTTTCTTCTTTTCTAATATTTGTTGAAAAATGGGTGATGTAAATTTCTAATAACTTAGTTATATTTCATCCATTTTGTAAGTTAGCGATATAAAAAAACTCTTTGAAGATAGTCTATTTCCTTTTTTGATTTTGCATGAATGCTTTTTTTTGTGTTAATCGTGGGCTTTGAAGAAAAATCAATTTCTTTATGTTTTTCTCTACAGGATACCTCATCATTATCGACATCAGGAGCACCATCAGCTGGAAAATTTCATTTATTATTTCTATTTTTTGCTTCGGTTATGTTTGCTGTTAGTGTATCAACATTATTTTTTTATCATTTATATTTAATATGGAAAAATCGAACAACTCTAGGTATGCAGTCGATCTTAGTGGTATTATTATTCTATGCTTTTGTTATTATTTCACAGAATCATTCCGATCACCAATATTTATAGATGGACCAAATAAAAATGGTTTCGATTTGGGTTATAAACAAAATTTTTTTGAAATATTTGGCTCTAGCCTATTATTAGCAATATTACCAGTAACATCAACGTAAGTTTCCTTTTTGAAATCGGAAAATCATCATTTTTTCTTTGTTTTTGAAGCCATGGTGATGGTGTACATTATCGTGTGAACAATGCTCTGCTAGATGGTTTAAACAATCGGCTTGAGCAAATAAAAATTCAAAATGATTCTTTTAGTAGGAGGTAAGCAATATTAGACAGAACATAGAAAGCATGGCATATCATAGTTTACAAAAACCATAAAAAATCGGATATAGTAGCTTTTTCTAGTTAGACGGTCAGTGTGAAAATAGTAAGATTTGGAACTAGAATATTTAGAACTCAGAACAGCAGCTTTTCTATTGTTCAAAGTTTAGGATTCTAATGCTGACGTTTGAGAAATATTTTATGTTATTTAACCCGATAATTATTTATTTTTATAAATCTATTTTAGTGGTGATGCTCTTATACCAATAGATTCCAATACATCTTACATTGATGATCGTGGAATCGTTACACAATCGAATTATTCTAATACTGGTGATTATTTATTAACCAGATAAAATAATTTATATATACGTGTGGGAAAAGTAGTCCGTATAGTATTTAGCAAAATTGAAACTTTTTTGAAAGAGGACAGAATCTAATCGAATTTATTTTTTGAAAGAATGTATTGAGGTAATACAGACTACTTCTTTTCCACGATTTCTATGTTCTTTTGAGCTATATATTTTTCTGTGTTTTTTGACAACCAGTCTAACAGATAGTACACAAC